AGAAGTCCGCAAAAGTTTTGCATTGAATGTTAGCCCAGTTTTTTCGATCGAAAAGACGGAATTTTACCTCGCTGTGTTCGCTATCCCGATCTTCATTCGATAAATTCATTTATGTTCGTATATCACACCAATAAGAATGATTTGTGAAGAAATTGTCTTGAGAGCAATTTTTTTTAGAGAGAGAGAGAGAGAGTTTTTTTGAACGGTAAATAGCCTTTTTCAAACGGTAAAAAGCAAATCCCATAAAATTTAGGGGTGTTATTGTCATTAATGAATAATCTGCAAACCTAGGCCACAATCCAAATATGTTGAAACCGAATGGTGGGCCCCACTCTCGACGACACATTTAGTAAGTTTGGTAGCTAAAGTATTTGTCTTCTTCCTATTATAGCCCGTTACAACTATTGGGCTTTTTGGTCAGAAGACCCAACTGACTGTAGCCCATTACTTTTTGAAAATAGCCATATCTGTGTTTCTTTTGCTATAGGGTAAATTACATCCATACCCCTGAGGTATGCTGAAATAATTTTAAGGTCCCTGTTGTATCGATAATTACACTCACCCCTGAAATGTAGTTAGAAACTCTAATGGGATAATGCACTAGATACGTCGTTCCAATAAAGTTCTAACTGACTATTACTTTTAGTAAGTGGTGGAGACAACATAGAGCTAGTTGGTGACATGGCTCCCCCAACATTTCTTAAATCATCCATAGTGCTATGTTGTCTCTACTACTTCCTGAAACTAATAGTTCGTTAGAAATTTATCGGAATAACGTATCTAATGCATTATCCCCTATTAGTTTCTAATTACGTTTCAGGGGGTGAGTGTAATTATCGATATCACAGGGACCTTAAAGTTATTAAGTTATTTCAGCATATCTCAGAAGTATGAGTGTAATTTATCCTTTGCTATATTATTGATTAGGGTGTTAACGAGGCGAGTTCGAGCTCGAGTTCAAGCTTTTAATCGGACCGGTTCACCGAGCTCACAAGCCGGCTCAAAGTAATAAACATGTTATAATTTTTTTTTTAAATCATTTAAAATATTATAAAAGTTCTTACTATGGATTTAAATTAGTAATTTTTCGTGTTTTTTTTTTTTTTTTTATATATTCAAAGTTACTTTCGAATTACCACTTCTGATTTTTAAATGGTATAATACAAAAGATGGATAACAAATAATAATAATAATATTAGTAATAATAATAATAATAATAATAATAATAATAATCCCCTTTCCCACTGTCTTCCCAAATTCCGTGTTTCTTTTCATTGGAAGAAAAAGATTTGAAAGCGCACGCACACACACACAACACACAGTAAACAAACAGTAGCGTCTGCTACTTTCATTGCTCCGTGTTTTTCGCTGTTGCGTTGCTTCCTAGTAAAAGCTTCCCTCCATCTGAACATGTCAAACACTACTACCAAATCAACCAAAAATTATAGTGAGCCAGGCGTAGGGTTTCGCAATAATAAAATGACCAAAAAAAAAAAAATCAACCCTCCATTGTACATTCAACAGCCGCCATTGTTACAGCACAGAAAAATATATACATACAGGTACGTGCGCGTCAGCGCGTGTACTCGCCTTCATACAAACGCAAGCGTATTACTCGCCGCGAGAGATTTTTTTTTTGTTTATTTTGGGGGGCAACCATTTTCAACAATTTCATTTACCCAATTTTGTTCTTATGTGGTCTACTTTGGCGCTTTTCGCGGTTGGGTTGATTTCAGTGATGCATTATACTTGTGAATAAAGTTGGGTTTGCTGATTGCATATTTGGTGGGGATTGCCTTGAATTCTGTGTTTTTTTCTCCTTTTTAGTGACCGATTGAACTTTTTTTATCTGGTTGAAGAATTCTGTGTGTTCGGTTCAATTAGGGCTAATTCATAGATTTCTGAAGTGATCTAGGGTTTGTATGAAGGTTTTTATGGTGGAATTGAGGTTCAATTTTGAGTTCCATTTTGTGGTGTAAAGGTTTTGCTGATAGAGAATCTTCCTAGGGTTTCTGTTCGTTTTGCCCGTTTCCTCGTTTTGTGGTTTTGGTGCAAATGGGGAAGCTTGTAGTTCGTATTGTTGAAAATGGGCACTCATATAGAATCAACTGTGATGAACACACTCCGGTCGAATCTGTGCAGAAGCTTCTAGAATCGATTTCCGGGATTCCATTCAAAGATCAGCTTCTTTTCTGCTTCGGCGTGAAATTGGAATCTCATTCCCCTCTCTCTGCTTACAAACTCCCGTCCGGAGAAGAAGAAGTATTCTTGTTCAACAAATCAAGAATGCGGATCAACTCACCACCCCCCACACCAGAAAAATTCAAGATCAACGTTATTCCCATTAATCCCCCGTTATCACCCCCATCCTCATCTCGTGGTCCCCACCCTAATTTAGACGATACCTCTGATCCAGCATTGAATGCCTTACCTTCGTACGAGACACAATTCAGAAACCATCTTCAATCGGGCAGTGCTATTTACAGACGTACATTGGCAATGTTCGAGATATGCGAGAGGCTTTTGCAGGAGCAAGAAGCGCAAGAAAGGGCGTTGGATGTTGCTAAGGGTAATTTAGACCATTTCTATAAGATGGTTTGTCAGAATTATACGGAGTTTATGAAATGCTATTCGCAGCAGGATTGTAGTCACAGGAAATTTCTGGTGGATTTTGGGAGGGAGAAAGAGAAGTTGAGATCGATAAAGATTATGCCATTGTTGCAGAATGCTAATCGGAAGTGCTTACTGGATTTTGTTGACGAGGAGAATTTGCAGAAAGTATGGGAGGAATGCAGCAGCTCGCACGGGCGGTTTGAGAAGAAAGTTTTGGAACTAAAAACGGAGTTTGGAGATTTAAATGGCCAAGTACAAGATTTATTTTCTTGCAAAACTTCGAATTTTATCAAAGATGTGGAGTTGTCCGTAAAAGAACACCGGCGATTATGGACGAGCAGAAGAGCATCATGCAGGCTTTGAGGTCTACTTCTTTCGTCTGCAAAACTCTCTGTATTAAATTTGCTCTCATCTATTTTAGTGCAGCAATAAATATCGGCATGCGAATTTGCGCAAAGTTTGCACTTTTTTCGTAACCTAATTGCAGTTCGTTAATAACTGTTAAAAGATTCTGTTTGTGCCGTCAGTCACGTGGGTTTATTGATAACGGTCACAACTATTCTTGATTGGCGTTTTGTTGACAGTGTTTTATATAAGAGCTCTTTATGATGGATGTCAAAATCTATGGCGGCGTAAACTTACCCGGATAACAATATCAAACTTATAATTTTGGATTTTTCGGGAATTTTCGTGACGTGGTATTTTATTACATATACCACTTAAATGTGAGCAAAAGTTGGAAGCGGCGCTAACTGTGAGCGAGCGTTGTTTTGAAGCATGATTTTTAGTCTTTTTTTTAACACGTCATTTGATATCTGAGATTATCTAGTGAAAAACTAACACGTGGTTTTATTGCAGTGAAGATGTAAATACCGTAAAGAAGCTTCTAGAAGATTATATTTCCCGCCAGGTGTCGCCTTCACCGATCCTCCCCCACAATGCCTTTTCTGCATTGGGTCCCACATACAACACCCACGAAAAAGATTACCTTCCCAAAATGCGTGCGTGTGACAACGCAATTTCCACTCTGCTCGATTTGTGCACGGACAAAAAAAACGAGTCGAATCTATACGTGCACAATTACATGCAAAAGATCGCACGCATGCAATACATCATCAAAGACTTGCGCTACAAGTTTTCCGTTTTCAGTGAAGCTCTAAAGCATCAAAACGAACAATTTCACCAATTAAAAGTACTGCACGGTGTGGGCCCTGCTTACATGGCATGCCTCGCAGAAGTAGAGAGAAGAAAAACGGCAACGAAGATGTATATGGAAAATGCTGAAAAGTTGTCTGAAAAACTTGCAAGAGAGCGGGATTTCGAAATTAGGAGACGTGACGAATTTGTCAAAGTACACAGTACTTTTATACCTCCGGATATTTTAGCTTCCATGGGATTGTACGATTCCATAAACCCTTGTTATGTCAATGTGGCACCATTGCCAGGTGGCAGCACGACACTGGCTGTAACTGATACGACTATTTTGCAAAACGATGCAGAAACCAAGATCGAAGCATTAATTAACGAGGTTTCGAAGTTTGAAAGGGAATCGGAGATCAATAGGAATCTACTTGATAGACTGAGAAGTTGTGCCACGTCAGCTGATTTTGCTGACTCTTTACGTGTTTTGGCTCAGTCTTTAGTTCGGTGAGCGCTATCTCGTTTGAATTTTATTGATTTTTTTTTGTCACGTTGGAATATAGACTAAATGGGACATATCTGTGAAAAATTATGAGGTTTGGTTTCGATTGGATGCGTGGCAATTGGTTACGATGTTAATTAGAATTATTGTTTGATTGAATTGTTTCTGTACTTTTTTTTTTTTTTTGCAGTGCCGGCGAGGAAAGTAACGAGGACAGTACTTTTAAGTTGCGTGAATGTATTGAGATAATTGCAGACAAAGTTGGTGCTTTGTCGAGGCAGTGTGAGGATTTAGAAGAGAATAGAGACTTGGTAAATACTCTTTGCACTAAGAATCAACTCGAAAACCAGGTAGCTGTATACATGCTTAAATGTCATCTTACATTATTACAAGTGGTGGAAATTGGAATGGAATATGCCGATTCGGATCAGAAAATTTCTGATTTTGGAATAGTTTTTGTATTCTGATTTTGAAATTTCCGATTTCCATTTTTTTAAAATTGGACTGAAACAGAGATTGCATAATGGATCCCGATTCTTGATCTGAAAAAGTTTTTCATCGATTCTGAATCCGCAAATTAAATATTCGACTCTGGAATTAGCAGAAAATTCTAATTCTGATCTGATCCGTTCAATTCCATGATCGATTGATTGAAATATCACTTGACCAAAACAAATTATTATATGTTTCTTACAGGCAAACAAGGAAAGGATTTCTTTCAACCAGTTACAAGTCGACGAGATCGCTGCGTTTCTCCTCAATGCCTCCGGCCAATACCAGGCCATTAATCGCGACTGCCCTTATTACTATCTCTCGCCTGATTCCATTTCGTTATTGTCCGATAATCGTCCGAGCTATATCATAGGACAGGTTGTCCATATCGAACGAAGAACAGTTGAGTCACCCCTGTCTGAAACTGGAACCAGCCGGTTGACTTCGAGTCAAGAGTCAACTCCAAATCCGTACGGTCTACCTATTGGGTGTGAATACTTTGTGGTGACTGCAGCCATTTTACCTGATACTAATGTTGATTATTCACCTCGTTCTTGATCTTTGTTGCCAATGGCAGATAGATGTGATGGAAGAAAAAATAAAAAAAAAAATGTAAATATACGATACTGTATACTAGTACTAAAAGTTGGTGTACGTGTATAACTGTGTTACATACTGTATAGTCGACAATCAAATAAATCATGTATCGTTGTACATACCGATTTCATTTCGTGTAAATTTGTTACAATTAGGGCCCTAATTGGTTTCAATCGGACTAATTAGGGCTCTAACAAGGTGGAAGACGGTGTCGTATTGGGGAAGTCGTATTTTAACTTTGCACGTTTCTTTTAAATTCAGTAATCCGTTATAATTATCATTTTTTAGTTGATGTGTATCGAAACCTTAAACGATTAACGAAACAGCTAAAAATTATAGTGCTCGTAAGAAATTAAGAAATGATACATTCGAACATAAAATGATCCAAAATTACACATAATACAGATCGGAAAAAAAAAATAACTGAAGTTGAGGGGCTCTAATTTGAATTCCCGGTAACAAAAGTGAGAACAGCCTTGTAATAAAACAATCAGCTCTAGTACATATTACAGCATAGCAAAAATCGAGCAGCACTAGTTCGACCGGTTTACTTTCAAATATGGCAATGCACCGATCACGTTGTTGTAGTCACTGCGATCCACTTGCAACTGTAAATAACAAAAACGATCGACTTAGAAACGCATAAGGGAATTTGCAGCAAGTAATTAAGAGACGGCAAAAGGACTAATATTCCTTCATATATAACTTCGATAACTAACTGTGTTACTACTTAATAGTTCTCTCTAATTTTGCCATGCTCTCGATCCTCAACTTCAATTCGTTACGAATATTTTAAACTTCATAACAAATTCCTAAGTACGAACCAATATATATATATATGTATATCCTACGATATTATAGCCAGTTCAAAGCATATTTCCCGTCCTTAGTTTCTGATCACTCATGTAAGGCCACGTTTGGGGATAAGGATCGGACTTGATAGGCAATATAATAAAGATGCATCAAACAGTTTGAAGCCCGTGATTGAAAAAACGAGCCCAAAATTTAATCAAGCATATGAACGGTATCGAGTATTACACAATCCCACGACGGATATTAACCGATACAAGGACTGTATAATCATAAATATCAAACCTAAGATAATGACATATTGGAAATGGACAATGTAATCTTATCCAATTCAATCAATCTTATCAATCCAATCGATATCCCCAAACGAGGCCTACGAGATTATCTAAAATTAACACACATTATAATCAAACTATAATCAAATTGAGGTAAAAAAAAAATTAAGAAAAATGAAATAAACAAACCATTTTAGAGAGTCTGACTCTCCTCTTGGTGTTCTTCTTCCTGAGCAAATGCTGCTTCCCTGCTCTTCTTCTCATTATCTTACCGCTCCCCGTAACCCTAAATCGCTTAGCGGAAGCCTACAAAATTCAATTTCAAAACAAAAACAAAATTGAGATTATCAACACGTGAATTTGAAAAAACCAACACGTGTGGGGAATTTGGCTTGCCTTGTGAGTCTTCATTTTGTAGCCCTTGGCGCACACCACCGTCATCGGCGACGGAGTTTTGTGGCCGGAGGTGGAAACTGCTGCCGCTTGGGGGAGAACGAGGGGGCGGAGGCCGCGAATTGTGTGCGACGAACTGAGGTTGAGTGATTGTGTGCTTTTAGCGACGAATGGAACCGTCGCTGATCGGACTGCTTGGTGTGGAGAAGGAGTTCTGAATCCAAGAGAGAAAACAGTGGTCGCCATTGTTGTTGATGCCGCCATGCTCAAAGATTGGATTTTTTTTTTATTTTTTCAGAATTTGTGGATAAATGGATGTGGCTGGTTTGAACAGACGATTTGCAACCTCAAAATTGGGAATAAAATTTACAGTTTTACTGCTCACTGTGAAACTCCATGAGTTAAAAATGAAATTCATTTTTTACCTTTTTCTCTTTTTTTAATGATTTATATATTTATATAAATAAAACAACTCTTATTACCAAATCGATTTGTTTTGGACTTGGGCCTTAAATTTCTGGACCTTTTTTTTATGGTTTCAAATAAAAATATTCATTTTTTTTGGGTAATTACGGTTATCCCTGATGTAAGGTCAAATTACGAAAAAGTCCCTCATGTTTTAGTAATTACAACCAGCCTTCAACTATGAATGTTTTTACACGCCGACCATTACGGTGTCAAATTTAGTGGAATCTTCTAGATTATGTGGAATCTTCTCCAATCTCTACCTGTTTTATCTCATTCGAGCTCCACATTTTAAAACATGACATATAAATACCAGATTGTGGTGTATCAAAAACTGTATATCTCCACATAACGAGTACAAACAAGAGAAATTTCACGGGATCTAAGAGATTATGTTGAATTTGACGCCATAAAAGTGGATATTTTCGTAAACATGAGAGATTTTTTCGTAATTTGACATAAATTCAGGGGATTAATGTCGTTGTCAAAGAGTGGCATAATTTTTTTACTTTTTATTTTTATTTTTTTGAGATAAATAATTTCATTTTTACGACAAATGTAATCGTTAAAAAATGTCGACTGGTATATATTTACCCTAAAAGTCAAGAAAACGAAGTTTGAACGGTAGGTGTTCAAAAAACACGAGAATTCGGTAAAAATGTTTCTTTATTTTTTTTCGATTTCGGGCTCATCGTCATATAACATCAATTGGTATGGGAGAAATTAAATGAAATGTTTCATCTAATTTGATGAATCAAGTAAATTCAAACAATAAAAGCGTCACCAAATGTTGCATGTCAGGTAGGTAGAAACTGGTAGACAAAATGGAAAATTACTAGTATAGAAAAGCAGCAAGTAAGAAAAAAAAGCTAAGTACAGTCATAAATCAAAAGTTTCCATAAGTACTTCCTCTCCTCACATTTCTTATTATATCTACAACCTACATATTTATGGCCACGTGGAGATGTCTCAATTTTTATAAATTTTTCTGGTGGAAATCATTTTCCTAAAACTTCATATGAAAATTAAAAAAAAAGTTGGGGTGGAAAATCATTTTCGCAAAATATACGAGTTAAAAATTTATAAAGAACGAGTTGAATTATGAAATGGAGTAACTTTAAGTATTATTTGCTAGTGCTTGTTCGGTTATATATATCGAATTAGTTGGGATTATATGAGATTGCGTAAATTCTGTATAGAATAATTAATTATTTAGTTAGTAAGATATTGGGTTAATTGGATTTGATTTTTGTACTAAATCTGTCAAATTCTGGTATTATACGTGATTTGTCTATAAACCTTTTATTTAACAAAATTAATATATAATTTGAAGGATAAAATAGTCTTTTACTTGTTTAGTCACCCCCGTTAAATTAATATTCAAAGGGAGGGGTGCTACTGATTTAATAAAATAGTATTATTTAAAACGAATTTTCATTTTAGCAGCTGATTTGAAACAATTATGAATCTTGCCAATCGAACGTGTCGATAATCCCTACTACTTCGTCATAAAACCTTACAGCAGTAACCGAGACGAGCCCTGCGCAGATTAAACACGAGTCAACTGGTCACGGGTATTTGAGGCCCGGAAAATAAAATAAATACTACACAAAAAAAAATTGCAAAAAAAGACCATTAAATTTAGGGTAAATAACAAACACCCCCTGAGGTATGGTCAAATTACAAAAACCCCCCTCTTGTTTGGATAATTACTTCTACCCTCTCAACTATGATTTTTTCTTACACCTCCACCCTTATGGTGTCAAATTCAACATTATCATTTAGATTCCGTGGAATATGCTCTAGTTTGTACTCGTTTTGTGTAAAAATACAGTTTCCGATGCACCACAAACAGATATATACAAGCTAAAAATCACACATTATGATCATCTTGCTTCATAATGTAGAGTTTGAATGGGGATAAAACGGGTACAAAAGTGATAATATTCCATATAATCTCGAAGATTCCACTAAATTTGAGGAGTTGAGGGGTGGTTGTAATTATCCAAACAAGAAGGGTGTTTTTGTAATTTGACCATACCTCAGGAGGTGTTTGTAATTTACCGTTAAATTTACTAAAATTATATTACAATTAACTACAAAATTGACTTAATTTTAATATTTGGGCTAGGCACATGACCAAAATGAATGAAACAGTGTTTTTATATATTAAAAAAAAAAATTAGTTTATTTTTTAATTTTTGAATATTGATGCAGAATAGAGCCACACACATTAAATAGGCGAATTGCCAAACACATAAATTTCCAAATTAGTTTTTCTCCCCCAAAATTAAACCTTAATTCGGTAAAGTGGCCACACTTCTTTTTTCCCATCTGTTTCCGGTCCCTAAAATCAACACCTTCCAAACGGCAAATACTCAATAGATTTGTCTCTCACTGTGTGTGTGTGTGAGAGAGAGAGTAGAGAGAGAGAATGTAGAGAGAGAAAGAGAATGGTTAGAAATGAGAGGTCTGGAATAGCCAGCGTAATATTCTTGTAAGAACTGAACAAAAATATATATAGTAATAGAAGAAGAAGCTGAAAGAGGCTTATGGGATTGTGTATTACCTTATCCTATCCTTCTCTCTCTCTCTCTCTTCTCTCAACATCTTCTCAACAATTCATAACAACATAATTAAATATTATTTATATATATATACACATATATATATAAAACAAAAAAAGAAAACTCTTTAAAAGATAGTCTTGCTCACTCACTTCATTAGTTTTTTTTTTTCACACAATCTTCAAAAAAAAAAAACAGAATTCTTTCGGTTTGTTGTTCATACACACATGTGAACGTATATCGAATATTTTCGACATAATCGATATATAATTTCAGCTGAATTTTCGTCGTACCGCTCTTCTACTTCTTGCTCACATTGGATGGATATTATTCAATGATTATTGGATAATATTATTATTATATACATATAATACTTGTGTGTAGCATTGTTGTTACAGGACTGCATTGTAATTCTCAGTCCTGCAGTTTTGAAGGTCAGCAAAAAAATATAAAAATATAAAAAATAAATAAATGGCTCCTAAAAATGGAAAAACAAAACCACACAAAGCCAAAGGAGAGAAGAAGAAGAAAGAAGAGAAAGGTTTGAATTATCTTATCCTTATCCTACTTCTTTGTTTCAATATTTTTCCAAATTTTATTTAATTATATTTAAATTTTTCACGAAATTTCATCGAAAATTAGTAAGGCAAGACCCGATTATGCTCAATATCTCGCTCTATGTATGTTCATTCTTCTGCCATTTATTTCTCGAAGAAATTATCGAATTCAGTGGGAAAGCCAATATAGGGTCATCGGGGGTCATAGCCCCCACCGATTACTAAAAAACTTCGTATTTTTATATAAAAAGTTGTTATTTTTTCGAGTAATTTAAATCGGAGAAATTTGTCTTTTAATTGGAAGTGCACAAGTTCTTGCTCCAATTTTATGTAATCAATACATTTCTTGTAGGTATACATAGCATGCATCGATAAAACATCATTTTTCTTATTTATTTATTTATAATTATTTTTAATAAAAACTGATACTAATTGAAATTCTTATCTGATAATAAAAGGCCTGTTTTCAGTGGACTAATTGGTTTAATTTTCTTCTTAAATCCTCTCTTTATTTTATTATTATATTAACCCAATAAGCAGGTGCTGACAAAATTCTTGTAATTGTTTTATTTTACATTTTATTATTATATTTTTTATTTTACATTTTATACTATTATATTAACGGAATAAACAGTTGCTGACAAAATTAATGTAATTTTACAGTTCTACCCACGGTAATAGAAGTAACGGTTGAGATACCTGACGACTCACAAGTCACACTTAAGGTAGTTATTAATTTTGATAAATTACACTTAAGGTCCTTGTATTTATATATAATTACTTATTAAAAAAATATATATATCAATCTCATGCAATTGCATGTCACTGTAGGGAATATCAACGGACAGGATCTTAGATGTGAGGAAACTTCTGGCAGTCAACGTTGAGACTTGTCATTTGACCAACTACTCTCTATCCCATGAGGTAACTACTAACTACCCCTACGGTTACTGATTTACACAAATCGTACTTTACTTAAAAAAAAAAAAAAAGAATTAAAAAAATACGTAAACCGTTTAGATGTTTTATCTCGGTCAACGTTTAGTTAAATTATATCTGACCGTTAATTTATTTTTAAAATATATATTTGAGGATTAATGAATAAATTAATGATATGTGGAGTATTAATTATTAAATGACAGAATTATTGTGAAAGATGAATAAATTCTCGTGTCAGGTACGAGGGGGAAAGTTGAAAGATTCGGTGGAAATTCTCTCTCTCAAGCCCTGCCACCTCACCATCGTACAAGGTATTCATTAATTAATATACAGTATTTTGTATTATTGCACAAATTCCCCCAACTTTTGTCTAAATTGTGCTCCACGCCCAATATCTTTTTTTGGGCGAATTACAGTCACCCCTGAGTTATGGACAAATTACGAAAACCTCCCTCTTGTTTGCATAATTACAAAAACCCCCTCAACTATGTATTATTTTACAAAAAAAAAAACCCTCTAAATGTAAATTTAGGGATGTTAAATCGGTAAAACCGAACCGAAATTTCGGTACGCCAACATTTCATACCGTTTACTGAATTGAATATACGATTTAGTTCGATAAATAACCGAATTACATAAATTTGATGTAAAAATATTTAAGAGGGGTGGCTGTAATTATCCAAACAAGAGGAGTTTTTTTCGTAATTTGATCATACCTTAGGGGTGGCCGTAATTTACCTTAATTGCCCTTCTTTTTTTTTAACAAAAATCATCGTCTTTTTTTTTTTTAAACAAAAATAAAATATCAAAGTTAAACAAACCACTAAAAACTCATCAATTAGTGGATTGTGACAAAAAATAAATACAATATAAATAATTTAAGCTAATAAAAATAATATAATATCGTTAATACTTATTTAGCAATTCAAAATAGCACAAGAGGGGTTATGTTCTACAATTAACTCTCTACCGACATGGATCGATACTTTGGACCTGTTAAATACGAACATTTTTGCCATACTAATTTATATAAATTAATATCTTGCAAGTACATATCTATTTGATAACGATTTTTTAGAACAAAATATAACAATTAATAAAATAGTTTTGAAAACTAAAAATCAAGACGAACTCATTTGTTATTATAAAATACTAAATTTGAAATGCAACGGATATTGAATTTAAACTTATTCTGGTGCCAACTCATCCAATATATATATATATATATATATATATATCAATGTATTTTCTATTGTCATTTATGGATGGGAAATATTTTATTGAAATTTCTAAGATTGGGTTTTATCTTAATTTTAACTTGATTTTATGGGAAATATTCTATCCAAATTTGTTGTTGTTGTTATTATTATTAATAATAATAATAATAATAATAATAATAATAATAATAATAATAATAATAAATAAATAAATAAATAAATAAAATCGGGAGAAAGCGGGATACATGTAATTTCTGAAAATACATGGGCAAAAATAAAGGGGCTGAAAATTAAAATTTCTGAAAATAAATGGGCAAAAATAAGAAGTACAAAACTGTAGGGGCTGAAACTGAAAATTTCTGATTCACTGTAGAGGAGTACTCGGAAGAGCCAGCTGTAGCACACATCAGACGGGTTTTAGACATAGCCGCCTGCACAACCTTCTTCGGCGGTTCATCGTCATCTCCCAAAAATGTACGGCCAGGCTCCAAAGATGCCGGCGCTAAGGAATCCGATTCAACCACCTCCGAAACCGGTTTCGACAATGCGGCCGCCGATTCTTCACCCAAGCCCAAACCGGCGGACAAAAAAGCCGCCGGCACCGTCGCGGGGGTTTCGAAAGCCAAGCCGGAGAAATCGGAGGTTACCGTTTCTACCGACGTCGCATCCGCAGGACCGGACGCGGCGGATAAAGGCGACGCTACGGCGGCGATGATGTACCCGCCGCCTAGGCTCGGGCAGTTCTACGATTTCTTCTCGTTCTCTCACCTCACTCCGCCAATTCAATGTGAGATTCTTATACCCCGTTTCTACTTGTTGTTTTAATTCTCGATTTCTTCTGTGTACCTGTAGTTACTGTTAAATCGTGCATGAATCGTAGTGTTTTTATGTAAATTGACATTTAAGAATGCTGGTTCGTGTATCCATTTGTGACAATTACATACTTCTGCAGATATTAGGAGATCAAATCGACCGTACCTTGAGGATAAAACAGATGATGATTTCTTCCAAATTGATGTTAGTTTCTTAAACTCCTAAAGGACAGCTTACTTTGCTCTCATTTTATTTTGGAATGCCCTTCTGGTTTTTTTGTGGTTACGCCACAAAATTGTGTGGTTCCTTTGATGAACTAATTCGTGTTTTCTCGAAACTTGAATTTAGGTGCGGATTTGCAGTGGAAAGCCAACAACTATCGTTGCATCTCGAAAAGGTTTTTATCCTGCTGGAAAGCGGAATCTCTTGAGTCATTCCTTAGTTTGCCTATTGCAGCAGATAAGCCGAGTTTTTGATTCTGTAAGTCGAGTCTTATCCTGGAATTGTTATTTATTTTTCTAAAAATTAAATAAGTGCGAATCTGGACCTGTATTTTCCCTATTTAGCCATGGTTTCTTCTATTATATTACACTCTTTTAACAAAGTTAATTGGTGTTTCTCAGGCATACAAGGCTCTCATGAAAGCTTTCACCGAGCATAATAAAGTGAGTAATCTGTCTCTTAAACTTATGAAGAACTTTTGGAACATGCTAAATGATGGCATCTATTTATTTCAGTTTGCGAATCTTCCGTATGGTTACCGAGCAAACACATGGCTAGTGCCATCTGTTGTAGCTGAGAATCCATCTATTTTCCCTCCACTTCCATTGGAAGATGAAAGCTGGGGAGGAAATGGAGGTGGGCAAGGAAGAGACGGAAAGCACGACTGCAGGCCGTGGGCGAAGGAGTTCTTGATTTTGGCAGCAATGCCATGTAAAACGGCAGAGGAGAGGCAGACACGAGACAGAAAAGCCTTTCTCCTTCATAACCTATTCGTCGACGTTTCGGTCTTTAAAGCAGTTGCTGCAATAAAGCATCTCATGGAAATCAATCAGAAGTCTACAAATGGTTCCGATTCGTCGATTTCACACGAGGAAAGAGTTGGAGATTTACTTATTACCGTATCGAAAGATATGCCGAATGCAAGCACAAAATTGGATAGCAAAATCGATGGAAGCCAGATTCTTGGAATTCCGCACGAAGACCTAACCAAGAGAAACTTGCTTAAAGGCATAACTGCAGACGAGAGTGCTACCGTCCATGTTGGTCTAATACCCTTTTTTTTTTCTTTCAACTTGTCTTTTATATTATTTCAAATAATTATTCTTCATCTTTCTGCACAGGATACTTCAACATTAGGTGTTGTGGTTGTTAGACATTGTGGGCATTCCGCCGTTGTGAAAGTTTCAGCTGAGGTGGATTGGGGTGGTAATCCCATTCCCCAGGATATTGACATTGAAGACCATCCCGAGGGAGGAGCAAATGCCCTGAATGTGAATAGGTTAATCAAATAACCTCTGAAAACCAAATTTTTTGCTTCACAGTTCCGTCTGGGAACAGTTGTTAACTTTGTTGTTTGGTCTGAATTTCCAGCTTGCGGATACTGTTGCACAAGTCAACTACACCGGCACCCCAATCATCTATCCCAGTTCAAAGGATCGCGAATGTGGATATAGAAGAATCACAAACCAGTAGGCCTTTAGTCAGGCAGGTCCTTGGTGAAAGTTTACTTAGAATTGAGGAAGAAGAATCTAAACCGACAACTTCCGTTAGGTGGGAACTCGGTGCATGTTGGGTTCAACATCTGCAGAATCAAGCTACTGTGGAAAAAGAGTCCAAAAAGAATGAAGAGTCGAAAGTTGAACCAGCTGTGAAAGGTTTAGGGAAGCATGGTGGACTTTTGAAGGATTTAAAAAAGAAGAAACCAGATGACCAAAGTAAAAATGATTCGAACAAGGAACTAAGTGGTGGTAATAGTTCTGATGCAAAGAAGAAGGAACTTGATAAAAAAGACAAGGAAAACGAGATCATGTGGAGGAAATTATGCCCTGAAGCAGCATATTTGCGCCTAAAAGAATCTGAAACTGGTCTTCACCTTAAGGTTGTCTTCTCGAGCCTGCATATTATTCCATGAAAAAGGACAAAATAAGATTGATTTTTTATTTTATTTTTGGAATTCATAGTGTCTTGCAATCTTAACATATAGTTCCTCTGGCTCCATTTACATTGACAGTCACCTGATGAGTTGATTGAGATGGCACACAAATACTATGCTGATACTGCCCTTCCGAAATTGGTTAGTCTACCGTTCCCATCTATCCTTAAACCGTAATCTTATTTTTTACAAGATGATGACTTAAATCTTTTGTACAGGTTGCTGATTTTAGCTCGCTTGAACTATCACCTGTTGATGGAAGGACTCTGACTGATTTCATGCACACCCGGGGTTTGCAAATGCATTCCTTAGGTCATGTGGTAATTCCTTTTTCTTAATAGTTTTTTTTTTTTATCAAATTGAATTTTTTTTTTGGTCCTAAGAATATTCCTTCTGGTTTTTCCTCGTCGAATCAGGTTGAACTTGCAGACAAGCTCCCTCATGTTCAGTCGCTCTGTATTCATGAGATGGTGGTTCGAGCTTACAAGCACATTCTGCAGGCTGTTGTAGCTGCAGTGGATGATATCGCTAATATGGCATCTTCAGTTGCTTCATGTCTGAATGTTTTGCTAGGTACACCACCATCAACTGGAAATGGTGATGCAGATGTGAGTCAAGATGATGAACTAAAATGGAAGTGGGTCGATAAATTCCTTTCGAAGAGGTTTGGGTGGCAATGGAAGGATGAAAATCGAAACAATCTTAGAAAATTCGCGATTCTTCGTGGGCTTTGTCACAAGGTAGACTAATTTTTTTTCTGAGCAACTATAAACCTTGGATATTTTTGAGATTTTTTATTTCCTCTCTTATGTGGTATATATATTCTTGTGTTCCAGGTAGGACTCGAACTAGTTCCTAGGGATTATGATATGGACACTCCCTTCCCTTTCAAGAAATCGGACATAATTAGCATGGTCCCTGTTTATAAGGTATGCTTCTAATGCTTCGTTTTAGAAAACTGGAGGCAGAGTTGGATATTAAGGTTTTTTTTTTTTTACTGCAGCATGTTGCTTGCTCGTCTGCGGATGGCCGTACTCTTCTAGAATCATCTAAAACATCCTTGGATAAAGGCAAATTGGAGGATGCTGTTAATTTTGGAACTAAGGTAATTTGTCGTTAAACAGAACATACGATTATAGTCTGGAGTATGACCAACATTTACTTTTCAATTTTGAAGGCACTCTCGAAACTGGTTGCAGTGTGTGGTCCTTATCATCGAATGACAGCAGGAGCATATAGTCTGCTGGCTGTGGTGCTCTACCATACTGGGGACTTTAATCAGGTATTCAAAATTAATCTTGGAAATTATTCAAAATCTATCTTTTCATTTTGTTTTCATTATATAGAATAAAGAATGATTTATTTCCTGATATAATCCTTCGCTTCTTTTGAATGTGAGCAGGCAACCATCTACCAGCAAAAAGCTTTAGATATCAATGAGAGAGAGCTTGGACTTGATCACCCAGATACAATGAAAAGTTATGGAGATTTAGCTGTCTTCTACTACCGGCTCCAACATACTGAGCTGGCCTTAAAGTATGTCTAGATGTACTCATTTTTTAGAATTTAAGAGCACTTATTTGTTCTCTCTTAGCTTTCTTCTGTGTTGGATTACTTAGTTTGGGAAGTTTCTAAATTAGCGTCTTCTAGAGTTCTCTTCGTTCAATAAATTAATAACACTGTAAGGCTAGACACAAAATTTGCGGCAAGTTAATTTTTAGTTGCTGAAGTGATATATTTCTTGAATATACTTATGAATAGGTTGTCTCTTTTGGATATAGGTATGTCAACCGAGCCCTGTATCTCTTGCATATAACTTGCGGACCTTCTCATCCAAATACTGCTGCCACATATATTAACGTAGCTATGATGGAAGAAGGTTTGGGGAATGTCCATATTGCCCTTAGGTACCTCCATGAGGCTCTTAAATGTAACCAAAGACTGCTGGGAGCCGATCATATACAAGTAATCTCTCTCTCTCTCTCTCTCTCTCTCTCTCTCTCTCTCTCTCTCTCTCTTTCTCAGTTATTATTTGCTGCCAAATGTTAGACTTTTGGGTATCCTAATAGATCAAATATCTTTCTTTTGGTTACTGTGTCAGACTGCTGCAAGCTATCATGCTATAGCAATTGCTCTCTCATTGATGGAGGCATATTCACTTAGCGTTCAGCATGAACAAACCACTCTTCAGATACTGCAGTCTAAACTGGGACCAGACGATTTACGCACACAGGTCGGTGCATTTTTTTTATAAGTTAGTATTATTATTGTTATTACTTATTACTATTATTGTATTGTTCTCAATCTTACTTACGTCTCTTCAGGATGCGGCTGCATGGCTTGAATATTTCGAGTCCAAGGCTCTGGAGCAACAAGAAGCTGCACGCAATGGCACCCCGAAACCAGATGCCTCCATCTCTAGCAAAGGCCATTTAAGGTGATATTACTGTTATAGCTCTCCAACCTCATTATGCATACATGATTTGATATGTGCATGAGATAGTAAGTCTGGCTGTTAAAAAAATGAAAAAAGAGGGGAATTAAGTTTATCATGTGTTTATATTCATGGGCATAATCCACTTTTTGTTTTGGGGGAGGGCAGAGAGGTCAATTCACCCACTTGGATTGAAAAGTTTCTGACATCCATGTGTATAGATGTTATATTCTAGCATAATTCCTTTTGGAATGCACTAAAATCATGAAAAGACAAGGTTGAGGTCAAAAAAGGTATAAGTTTTATTCTGTTAATTATTTGATATGAGCTGTCCTGCAAGCATCTTTAAGGAAGAGATGATTCTTTCGAGTAATGCCAATAAGTCCAAGTATTTTATAAACTTGATATATCATATTAACTAATCTATACTTGTGGATGGTTGGAGTTCATCAGATCATACTTTGAAATTGATAATATGGCCTAATTCTATTGAATTTGCTCTTTCAAGAAGAGCTTTTAGTTGGAAGCTAATTACTACTTTGTTGTCTAAATTTTATCGGTTTTAAGTTGTCTAGTTGAACAAGTGTTACTGATTAAATGTCATACATGGTCAGAATAGTTCACAAATAGAAAGTACTCGTAAGAATCATTTGCCAGCAAAAGTAATTAAATGTGTGGATGATATTATATCTTAATTTTGTCCGTTCTTTTTTTGAAAAAATATATGATAATGGGCATCGAACAATTCAATGTGAACTTCACATGAAATCAGTGGCCAAGAAGATTTCTGGCCCACCCAGTTTAAACAACCGGGCTAGGAATTATCAACAATTATAAGTATAACTTAGGCAATATTACATTGAATGGATGTTAACTAATCTGCTGCACTTATTTTTGGATTTAGTGTGTCGGATTTGTTGGACTATATAACCCCTGAAGCGGAGATGAAAGCAAGAGATGCTCAAAAGAAACAAGCTCGTGCTAAGGTTTGAAATTTTTACTACATATGCTCGTATCTGCTATCCCGATTCTTGATGAATTTACTGACCCAAATATCACCTTCACACATATGCAGCTAAAAGGAAAAGTTGGTCCGAATTCGGAAACGACAACAGAAGAATACAACAACAATGAACTCCCATCACAAAACGAACCTATTGCACAGAACACAAGTGATAAAGAGAACAAATCTGAGTCACATTCTGAGGAGTCCACTAAGAAAACTGCCGATATATTTTTGGCAGAGAATACATTGCTGGATGAAAACAAAGACATTACAGAAGAGAATGATCTATCTGAAGAAGGATGGCAAGAAGCTTTCCCAAAAGGGCGCTCAACGGTGGGCCGTAAGCCCTCAGCTTCTAGAAGACCAACCCTAGCAAAATTGAACACCAACTTTCTGAGTACGTCGAATCCACCTAAGCCCCGAGCTAAACCTAGTAATTTCACCTCCCCGAGAACAAATTCGAACGAGAATGGTGCTTCATTAGTAGCGGCTCCACAAAAAACCGTGAACAGTTCTAGCCGAAAGGTGAATGCTCCTACTGCTGTGGCAGCTTCTAGTGATGTCACTCGAGCTTCTGTTGTTAGTCCGGTGAGTGTTCAAACAGCTGGAAAACTTTTCTCTTACAAAGAGGTTGCTATAGCGCCACCTGGCACAATTGTTAAGGCTGTGGCGGAGCAGCAGCAGCAGCTGCCGAAGGAGAGCTCCGCTGAAGAAAATCCCAATTCGAGCAAGGAAACGAGCGGAGGAGATTCAACAGCAGTAGCATCAACATTGAAGAATAGTGAAGGGGATGAAACTGAAAAACAGTTGGATCTCGATCCCAAGGAGATTAAATCTGCTACTCTTGAAGAAAAACAAGTTATTAGTGAAAAATCCGATGAAAAATCAACAGAAGAAGTGAGAGTTACCGAACGTGAAACATCAATCGATTCTTCTGTGGTTTCTAATTCGGTTACTTCCATAAAAGAGGAACCAGAAGTACAACCGGATTCAGGAAAAAGTGCTGAATTACTGGAGAAAGATGCTTCTAGTCCAAAGGAAAAAGTGGTAAGTGAAAACGTTGATTCACTGCCAAACGAGGAACAACAGACACAAGCTAACGAGGCGGAGGCTGGAAAGGAACCAAGCAAGAAACTCTCTGCAGCCGCACCTCCATATAACCCAACCACGGTTCCGATATATGGTTCAGTTGCTGCACCTGGTTATATCGAGCACGGAGGATTACTGCCACCACCGATGATTGCAGTCAATCCTGTCCGTCGATCGCCCCACCAGTCAGCTACTGCTAGGGTTCCGTACGGCCCACGTCTCACCGGTGGGTACAACAGATCGGGAAATAATCGCCTTCCAAGAAATAAGCCAGGTTTCCATAACGGTGAACACAACGGGGAGGTCTTCATCCCTCAGATAATAATGAGCCCGCATGCCGTTGAGTACGTACCTGGTCAACCGTGGGTACCGAACGGGTACTCTGTAGCCCCGAATGGTTATATGACTTTCTCCCCGAACGGATATCCTATTTCACCAAACGGTTACCCTCAGTCGATCGGCTTTCCTGTTTCTCCGGTGGATTCGTCAACGGAGTCTCCTCCAGCTGTGAGTGTTGAAGTTGCAGATGAAGACGGGAAAGATGAAGTTGTTGTCGAAGAGGTTGAAGAAGCGTCGGATGAAGATAAATTGGAGGAACAATCTGCAGTGGCTACCGAAAAGACTCGTTCTGATCTTATGGAAGGTGATGAGAAATTAGTTTGTGAAGGTGAAGGCCATGGAGATAGCAGCACGGCTGTTGAAGAAAAGTCAACCGACAGCGAAGCTGAGGTTGTTGTTGAGGTAGCCAGTTAAAAAAAGGCTCTTTATTTTTCGGTTTGCTAATCCAGTTTTAGATAATGGGCTCTTTTTAGAATATCCGCGATTGTGGACACGAGGTAATGAGTTGATGGAAGTCATTTTTCTCGAGTCCTCGTGAAAAGAACTGTTGAACTTCATTGGCTGCGCGTGCAAGAAGCGCCGACTGGCTATTACTTTGATGTGCAGAAGTTACACTTGGACAGGGATTAAAAATTCTTTCTTTCTTTCCTTTTCTTTCCCCCCCTTTTTGCAGACATTTTTTTTCCGGACATGTAATAATAAACGTATTCACGTTGTAACGTTTTGCGTAGAAACCTTTTGTACACAGTTTGCCTCCCAGACGGAAACTATGATTCAGTGCCATATTCTGAGATTTTAAGCTTTTTTCTCCTCACATGTTTAAGAAATTACATGTAAATTTCATTTTTTTCTTTACTCAACGCATCACTGGTTGCTCTCAGCAAATACAGTTGTGATGTTACAAATAAACATATATGCTGCTACATCATCACAAGCAGAAAAAAGAAAGAAAAAATAAAATCAAATATACCTATTTAATGAAAAAGATAAAAAAAATAGAGATACAAAACAACAACATAGTAAAACAATTTATGAGGACTATAATAGGTCCTCTCTCTAAGAAACTCTAGGCAGGTGAACATCGCCTCCATTCCATGATAATAAGAATCGAAGCACTATGAGCCAGGGCAGCAAGCACAACGAAAACGTGGAAAATCTGATGACTATGCCCCACAATATCAAACTTACCGGGCTTCCATCTCTCCGGTATTCTCGTAACATAAAACACCGCACCCACACCGTATAATACCCCCATAGCTATCTCATACACCAGCGATCCCAATATCTGCGGGTGGTCCCAATGCAGAACCACCGCATGGGCGGCCGGGATCACGCCGGAGAATCCCATGCCGAGGAAAACTGCCGCCCTAAACGACCTGAAACGGCCGCTGGAGAGAGCGGGCGCAAGAAGAGTTACAACAACCAAGATTCCGATGACAGTGATTGACGAAAGGTACAAGAACCGCCAGTATGGGTGGTCGGAGAAGGTGTAGTAAATTGGGGCGAAGAAAGAGCAGACGATCATGAGGGATATCCCGGCGTAGTCGAGGCGCCAGAAGAAGTAGTAGAAGCGTTTGGAGTGGCAGGCGAAGAGGTGCGATATGGTGCTGAATATCAGGCATCCCATTGCTCCTACTAGGAAGACAAACCAGGGCCATAATGGAACTGATGCAGTGGAATGTTTTGTCACACCTAGTATTGGTGTGCTGGCTATGTGCCTTAGGTAAGAATCCTGCACATTGAAAAGTTTTTAGGGGTAGTTTTTTTGGACAATTAGAGTAAATACAGGGGTGTTAAATGCAATAGAGGTTGTGGAATGAGGAAAATTTGTTTAGTAGTAATAATACTATAATTATCAGACTTGGACAGTAGATTCTTTGTGTTAATTAGGCTAATGAACATGGAAAGATGTGCATAGATTCATAATCTTGTGCTTAATATATATATATATATATATATATATATATATATATATATATATATATATATATATATATATATATATAGTTCACATGTTCACATATATTCATAATCTTTTGGTTCACATGTTCACACATGCGTGTAGGCAACTATGTTGGTGGGTGAACCCCACGTGCCTAGTTGGATGGTTGAGAACAGAGATTAGTTTAAACGCTACTAATTACTTAATTAGCTCACATTAACTTTCTAGAGTGATCAAAATTGTCTTTTTAATTAGCATATATCATTATTTTATTTTATTCAGCCAGCATATATAAGTTGTAAATATGAAATATAAATATTAAGAAAAGCAATCAGCAAAGACACTGTACCTTAATGGGTAACGTGAATTTTTTTTTTCTCTCTTAACTATTTAATTAATAATACTAATAAAAGATTCCCCACTTTGTCTTCTCATTTGTGATTTGATTACCAACTCCAAGAATTTCTAAAAAGTCTCAACAACTACTTAAATCATACCAAGATTTTGGGTTTTGCCTTTTGATTTAATTAGGAGATTCTGTACCTAATTTGCCATTACAGTCTGCGTCAGAAAAACTGGTTTATTTCTATACTTCATCCAGTCCAGTGAAGATTACTTTAGATGAATTTTAAACGTTAATCTACACACACCAATGTGGATGTGTGTGTTTTGTGTGTATATAAATGACAAAGTTAGACTTGGTGTATTTCACTCGATGTAGCACAATATAAAACTGAAAAACTGGTGAATGTAGATACATCTAACTTCAAATATCCAAATTTTAATTCTCTCCTATTTGGGATTAAATAATAGTGATAACTAATAATAGAGAAAAATAAATCATTTATGGCCAGCCAGCTAATCAACGTGCATACGTTAATGAATCAAACATCTGTTCTTTTTTTTTTTTTGAAGATTTTACCGCCACTAATGGAATTTATTATTATTTATTACTAATAATTTTTAAATAATAATGCAACGTGGTGTGGGACCCAGAACCGTAGTTTTTGGAGGGGGAATGAACAAAGAACCAACAGATGGGAGTGGGCCCCACCTCAAAATGTACTACGCTTGTCCAATCGTGTGTGCCTACTTTCTATTTGCATTTTTTATAATAAATAAAGTAAAATAAAATAAATAAATAAAAATAAACAGAATAAGACGAGACACTAACCGAAAAGGAAGCGTTAGAGCCGTTGGATTCGTTCATCATCGTCGTCTTCAGCCATCCATCACTTCGCTCTCTGCAAATTCGATTATTTTTCAGTTCAAAAATCAAAATTAAAAAAAAAAAATTGGCGTCAAGTGTGAAAAAATTAGGGGAAAGTAATTTAATCAACCAATTATAATAAAAAAAAATCAAAAAAAAAATAAAAATTGAGAAATTTTACCCGAAGAAAGCGGCCATCACATTTTTCAAGGTCATCTTCTCCGTCAAGCTCGTCACCATCAACCCTAGAAATATCACAAATCCAACTAAATGCCTGCAAAATTCGAATCAAAAAATTCAAAATCCGAAGCTCAACTGGAGAAATCAGAACCACAAATCTCTGCAGAAAAAAAAGGAATTAATTGGACTCACGTCCAAATATTCAAAGTCTCGTTGTGCAAGGAGAAAACGCTGAGGAGAACATCCTTCAACGGCCATTCACATCTGTAATGATCGGTGATAAACTCGTTGTCCTTCAAATACTCCGGCAGCTCCTCGTACTTCACCAACCTCCGCTCAGATTTCACCGATTTCTTCTTCTTATTATCACCGCCCTTCGCCGCCGGCGCCGCCGGCGAGGAGCTTTTCACCGCTCGTCTCTTCATTTTCCTATCCGATTTATATGTAATCTCCACCGGGAAAAGAACAACTTTAATTTACCGGTGGAAACGCGAAAGCTTCACCGCCGGAATAACGAGTTTTCCTTTCCCCTCCTCCTCCTCCGCCGCCGCCGCTGTGTGTGTGTGTACGCCTGTATATTTCTCTGTGTGTGTGTGTGTAACTATGTGTAATTTCAATTTCAAAGTGTTGTGAATGGAGTTTTTTTTTTTTTACGATAGGCGCTGAGTATATATAACTCCAGAAAATAGCGTGTGACCATTTATTTATAATAATAATTTAAATTACACAAGTCGGAAAATAAAAAAGTGAATTTCGTTCAGAGTTGTGATCGAGTGCGGTAGGGATCATCTCAATTAGATGTGGGTGTGATTTGATTGCCAGCTCAGCTGGTTCCATTGAGCGTTGACTATAATCTCTTCCGGTCAAAGTTAATTGGACAATCACAGTTGAACACGTGTTCACGTCTCTTAGGTAGAATACAGGTGATTTTTTGCCGCTCCAGCTACGAAATGGGTTGGTGTAGAATTTCAAATTTGGCGGAACCTATCAATATCAGGAAAATAAAGCACCATCCAACTAATTTTTTTTTTTAAATTAAGCAAGTTAGATTATTGATTTACATATTAAAAAACCGCAGTTACTACAATTTAAGTGCTAAATATAGGATTTTTTTAGAATTCGAATACCATTTTTTAATAATAATAATAATATAAAAAATATATAAAATGAATAATTATATGAATAATAAAGGGGGTAGGACAATAAGGTAAGGAATTAAAGGAAAGTATTTGTGACTGACTTTATTGAAAGTTATTTGTTGGATTGTCTAATAATATCCGTTGTAAAAGCCTATATTTTTGTATTTCTAGAAAAAAAGAAATAATCAATTGTAATAAAATAATATTCATAGAATCAAAATGTCATTAACTAATTATGCAATTTATATAAAGAAAAAAAAAACAATTATTCTCTAATAGTGGTTTGTGTTTTTTGAAGGGTCCCGTACTCCCGTTTGAATTCTTTTCTCCCGCCACAATAATTTAAAACTTCTTATATTAAAAAAAAATAACCACATTTTAAAAAAAAAATATTGAAAAAGTAACTAGTAGTTTTTTTAGAGCAAAAATTAATTAATTTTTAAATAAATAAAAACAAAAAACTAATTCACTATTATATGTGGAATACAACCCAGAGCCCAAATAAAATTATTGCAAATTACCTCAATGATAATATG